TTATAGGAATGTACACATTTTTGCTTCATGAGCACACCTAATTGCCTGTGTATGAGGCTGCATAAATTGTTGTATTAGTGCAGGATAGGGTTCACACCACAAAATGCATGACGTAATTTGAATGTTGTAAGTTGCAACTACTGGTAGGAGTTCACATTGCCATTGCTCAAGAGATAAGAGTACGTCATCTAGATTGCAATGGACAGCATTTCCATAGCTTGTATTTTACACTGGCACAAACACTTGTAAACGCACACGGACCCTAAGATATAGTACTCAAGGAGCCAGCTGGCCTGGATGATGAAGGAGACGGAACTACTTCCCCTGAAATTCAGTCCTCATTATTTTTATTGCGACTGTTTAGCAATAAAGATCCGAATACCCAAATTTTAGGAAAGTGGAGGCTAGGTGAAAGTAGGACAGAAAAATATAGCATAAGAAAATTTTAGAAAGAGAAACAGCTGTGATTAAAGAAAGACTGTAAATAACTGCAGGAATTAAAGGTAGATTATCAAGGGTTGAGGTGCTCTGGCATACCATAAAACTCCGTGATAGGAAAAGACAGGAAATGCGGGCTAGGAAGAAGGTGAACGAGTTGGTCAGGGTAAGGGGCGAGAACTACGATGCTGGTATACCCAATGCGTTCTGTCAAGTACACGTGGACACATCTGCTTCCTCCGAAGGCGTTAATCATGAACTGTTACTTAAGCGCATAAACTGCCATTTTTACATGCATTGCTCTGGCAAGCTGACCCACTGCAGCAAAAGTTGACCATTACAAACAGGGAGATTAAGCCCTTGTGCATTCCATTGTACCGCTGAGTCGGTAATGCACATGGTTTTGGAAGGCACGAAGATTTGAATCATAGACACCAGCACCAGCTGAAAACTAAATGTTGAGCATGCCCTCAATTCCAGGCAATCCTATGTGCCTGAATTTTTGAAGCCATTAATTTTGTGACGGATTTGCTAAAGCCCCGAAACTAACTTCGTAGCTCACCCTTTTTTCTAATGCGCCATTACTTATTTCAAGCTTAACATCAAGCAGTGAAGGTAGTAGTCGTTAATACGGAAGGACAGACACCTTGTCCTGTAAGTCAGACCACAAAACACAGATGAGTGATTAGCTGTTGCTATGCTTCAGGTGACTATTCTAGTCAGCAATGCGGATTGTTTTAAGGTTTCGAAGCTGCTTGCACTAATGTGTAATGATATACAAAGCATGAAACATGCATCATTTGCAAAAATACTTGTCTGCTCTGCTAAATGTTTTGTTGATTACAGGCCTTCACACTTTATGGTCTACACGTGCATTTGCTGCCAGGAACAGGCAGCTGACTTTCAAATAGAAAAACCAGTAGATACACACTAAGTCGAGATTTCGGTCACTTGCGCTCTCTTGTTCCAGCTCATGGTCAAGATGATCTTTGCCTTTTTACCTGTCATATTCCTACTAGTCATTCTAGCAAT